ATGATGAAGAATGAATCAGGAGCTCATCTGTAATGGACATGTTGTATGGCTAACAAATACATTTATTCACTTTTAAATTACTTAAAATTTAAATGTGTGCTTGTGTGCACATTTACACAATATAAGGTAGCTGTCCTTACTAATACAGTAAATAAAGAACTTAAATGGTTATCCTATCAGCAATAAACATAATATTAAACTTAGATACTATTTTATGAAGAAAGTGATGATTATAATGATGATGATGTATGATGATTGATGACATAAGGTTTCACTTTATGTTCAAGAATGGAGAACTATGCAAATAGTGATGAGGGTGGGGTCAAATAACATGATCCATGGGTAAGGATAATTTAGAATGAACTAGTGCTCATATAAACAAAAGTGGTAAAGAAAGCTGATGGTGGCCAGCTATCAAAAGATATAGTGTCTGGAGTTTTAAAGGCTTGAAGGTAAAGAAGCAGCCAGTGAGCTCAGAAGAACAAAGCCCACATGGAAGAAGCACATAAGCCTGTGTGATCATGAGGTGTCCAAAGCATCAGGCATCAGGCATCAAAGAACAAAAAAATCATAGCATTGTGAATGAGGGGGAGTACAGATTGGGGACCCAAGACCCATCTGTAGGCAACTGGACAACCCCTTATGGAAGGGTCGTGCGGAGGAAACGAGCCAGTCAGGGTGCAGTGCAGCAATGATGAAACACACAATTTTCCTCTAGTTCCTAAATGCTTCCTCCCACCACCCCAATATCATAATCGCAATTCTACCTTACAAATCTGGCTAGACCAGAGGATGTACACTGGTACAGATCAGAGCTGGAAATACAGGGAATCAGGGCAGATGATCCCTTCAGGACCTGTGGTGAGAGTGGTGGTACCGGGAGGGTTGAGGGAGGGTGAGGTGGAAAGGTGGAACTGATTTCAAGGATCCACATATAACCCCCTCCCCTGGGAAAAGACAACAGAAAAGTAGGTGAAGGGAGACGTTAGATAGTGTAAGATATGACAAAATAATAATAATTTATAAATTATCAAGGGTTCATGAGAGAGGGGGGTGCAGGGAGGGAGGGGAAAAATGAGGAACTGATACCAAGGGCTCAAGTAGAAAGCAAATGTTTTGAAAATAATGATGGCAAAAAATGTACAAATATGATTGACACACTGGATGTATGTATGGATTGTGATGAGTTGTATAAGCCCCCAATAAAATGATTTAAAAAGAAAGTGATACAAATCTAAAACTTGCTGTTTTTGACACAACTCACAGTCTCATTTCTTATCATTTACTCACCTTTAGTGTGAGGAAAATTGATCAAAATTGCAAAGGGACAAAGATGGAAGAAACTGTCAGTCAACACATTTTTCTTACTTCAACTTGAGGAAATGTCTTAATCCTCGGTTGTTTCCCAGTAAATGTTTAACGACAGACTATTGAGTGCATGTGGGTACCCACGTTGGTGTACTGATTCCCCATGTTTGCTCATTTATGTTACACACATTCTCCCAGACGAATTTGAAGCTACTGCTGTGATGTTGCTGCACATGGAGTTGGGAAGCAATGTGCATAATTATCTCTCAGGACCCTGGTTGAATCTGATGGTAGCACTCCATTAAAGAAGTTTTACTGAGAGGCCAGACTAGATATAAATTCACTTTTGTGCCAGATTCAGAAAGGAAAAGCTGCTTTATAGTGACCCCAGCCAGCATAAGAGTTTGGAGAAAGTGAGCTATGATTAACTGACAGGGACAGACAGGGGCTTCTGCCCTGCCTGCTAAGGGAATAAGGGAATACACAGAAAAACAAACACCAGGAGGACTGCTTGGCAAACATCTTCACCTTGAAACCAGACCTTAGTGAAAATCCTGACATGGACAACACTCGGAAATAATTCTGAAACAATCTAAGATATACCGACCCAAAGCAGCAGTCAGATAAACCTGAAAGAAAGGATGCATGAGACCCAAGGACAGACTGAATAACTAATTAAAAAGTTGCCTGACCACCTGCAGTGCAGCAAACACCCCCCCCCCCTTCCATTTGAAAGTACCATCTAAAAACCAGGAGTGTCCCCCTAGACAGCGTCCTCACTCCAACTTTCTGGGAGCTATGCATATCTGACCTATGCTTAAGGTGGGCCTTCTAAACTCACAAGGGGGACCCACTTCCTTTCTTTTGAAATGACTCTGCTTTAAGTGACTCTGAGGCTGTGTGCCTATGTGTGAGCCAGGCATATCTCTGGACCCTAAGAAACCAAAGGGTTTGGAGCTTGCCAGTTCCCCCCTGAGTAGCGGATTTCATAGTAACATCTTCATACTCTGTCAATTCAACATTTGGGGTGGGGTGGGGATCATTAATATACTGAATACAATCCCAGCCCCCTCAAACAACTTTTGACTAGAAAGAGAACTGCGGGGCAGGGTGCGGTGGCAAGGACTGCTGTCTGCAAACAAACTCCTTTGAGATCAGTCAAAACAGATTGCTTGCAGCCCAGTCATCTAATTTTTAAATAAATGTCTTTCCGATCTCTATTTCTCTATGTTGAGCAATAAGTGTACAGTGGTTAATGGGACATCTGTGAGCAGGATGAGGATGAAGAAGCTGCATGCTGCCTGCAGTACTTCTGATGCACACTCTTCTGATACCTCTGGGAGAGTAATTTGGTGGAAGCTTTAAAAATGTAGGTCACCGGTTCAAATTCAATCTCAGTTGATCGTGAACAGTGGATGGTTGGTGTCTTATCGTGAATGCCTTTAGGAAACGATCCTAATTCTTTCTCATAGAGACTGTCACTACAATTTGAACCTTTTCTCTAACTTCCACCAGAAGGACAGAGTGAATGGAAATGTCAGGTCAGGTATATATTCAGCCTTTGTACCGGAGATATTTGAGATATAAAAAGGCCAACTCCTTTTCATCTGTAACTCACAGGTAGAATTATTCTCCCATAACATGATTCCTAGATCTTTGTGAGATTTATTGAAATTATACCTCCATTGTCCCACAAAGTAAAATTATTCTGTACATGAAAATGTAATACATAATGGAACAAAGAATATTTAGATGTTAAAAAAATTTAAATTTCTGGCCCTCAACTTTCTAATCTAGGATTTCATTTTCTTTCTCTTCTTGTATTTTCCTTTCATTTTGCTTTAATGAATGAAAACCATGTAAATAAAGAGATTTTCATTTAAAAATAAATTTGTATATTGGTTTTCCATTTTCATCATTGTAGTAATTTCATAGGTTGTCTCTCTCGTGAAAATATGTAGAATTTATTTTCATACGTCCTGATATATTTTTCAATAAAAATGCTCAACATTCCCTTACTTTTAATGCCTCCAAATCCATATAATTTTTTGGCCACAGACCTTAATACTAAATGGACAACAAAACCAAGTTCTGTCTAGTCAAGTGAGCAAACGTACAATACATATACTAAGCAAAGACACCAAAAATATCTGGCACAGCCAATCAAAATTAAGACCACCATATGATATTAGGGGAAGCAAGTGGAAGGACCTTTGTTTTTTAAATTAATTGGATTAAATTAACTGGTTGTTGGAATCACTTGATGTTTATGGGGCTCATGTTCCACGTCTGTAAATGAGGAATCTATGCTGATTATTATTATACTTTTCTGAATATGAACAGTCTATACAATCCTCACTTTGACATTATCAGAATTTGAGTTCAGAGGTGTCAATAAATAAAGTGAAAAATGTTTTACCAGTTTCAGTGACATTAAATTCACATCACATACAATTCAATAGTTCAATCCTCTTTTTTAAACTTACGCAATCAACAACACAATCACGTTTACAACATTTTCTTTGTTCTTGTACTCGTTATTATTAGCTCCCCATTTCCCTCCAACTTCCCCTGCCATCCCATTTATCCAGTTACTGTCTCTATGTATTGACCCACCCTGAATTTCATATATAGGAAACCATACTGAGCTATAGATTAAAAGAGACAAAAGCCTCAATCAAAAAGAAAGCAGAAAATGTTAAAAACTAGAATAATCTTAAATGGGTCAGAAAAGTGATCAAATTAACAGGTGTTACATTTTAGCCTAACTAGACCTTCTAATGCTTCTGTCTGATAGCAAGCGAGGTGAGTGAAATGCCACTGTGCCTGTACTACCTTATCGGATGGTAAGAACGGATGCTGGGGTGTTTTCCTAGCTCAGTGACAGTTAAACTTTTCATAAAATATATTCTGAATCCTACCAATCCTACATTCTAATTCAGAATTCTCACAGTAGCAATTCCTTCTCTTTTTTCTTTATATCCACAGGCAAAATCATAGTTCAATGTATGGTGCTAACTAATTTTCACAGCAAGTGGCAGTTATTGACACTATAAGTAGAACAACTTGAAGTTATCTATACAGTTAGTTAAACCACCTGCCCAAGCTATCAGTTTGCAGGTAACTTATATGTCCATGAATCTAAGCTACAAATGGTACTATCCATTAAATGTTATACTCGTCATCTGACAGAATGAGGAGAAACAGCAATTATAAGCTGCAGGCACAGTAGAGGTGGTTTCAGAATTGGGATGCCTATCCTTGGTCTTTCCATCTGAGGCTATTTCCCCTTCATAACACTGCAGCTCAAATAAACCTTGGGTTCAAAGGAACCCAAGAGGACAATGACACTCAGCTGCAGACTCTTTGGATGCAAAGAGGAAAATATTCAAGTGCATGTGTCCAATCCTTTCATTCTTTCCTGTAATGATTGCAGCTAATCCCTGCCAGCCAAACATTAGTCCTTCAATGGTGGCAATCAATAGACTAGATTAGCTGTGAAACACTCCATCCATAGTACCCAGGCTTTCCTCTCTAGATGGAATTTTCACTCGCTGGAGTGTAAGCAGGCACGCAGATTTCTCTCTCTCCGAAACAAATACCAAGTCTGTAGTCTTCAAGGATGCCGAGATAGAATTTCATATATATGTATATGTATCTATCTATCTATCTATATATATTAAGAGGCATACCTGTAGATTTAATAAAACAGCACCAATCCTCATGGCTTCACTAATTTCAAGGCTATACATCAGCTGTGGGAAACGGGGAGGACTCTGATTATTTGGAGGAAGCACTTCAATGTACACAGTGCAGATGGAGTGCCTGCAGAGAAAGAGAAGCAGACAAGATGGGTTAAAATCTGTAGGACACTTAACAACAGACTACATTCAGGACCCGGTTGTTGGGTTTATGAGAGAAGACATTTCAAATCTTTATAGAACATAATAAAAATAATTCAGAGTGAAAGAGAGAAAACAAAAAGCTACCGTTAAAAATCATGTTCTCTATAAAAGTTTCTTAGTCAAAGGAAAGAACTTGACAGGAATATCTGTTTATTCTCCTTACTGAGGTGGAGAGGAGAAATTGGAAAGGAAAGCTTCTCAAGGAAAGTTAATACATCAACTTGTCTTGACTTCCGACTCTATTTTAATGCTTCTCTAATAGCAAAATAAAGGCATTCGACAAACATTTGGTGATCTGAGCTGCCTTGGAGGACTTTTCCTATTAAACCAGTAGAGGGAGTACTGATGAAAATAACACGCAAAGCAGTATCCGAGCTGGGTTCTGTTGCTAATGTCAAAGGGCTGGTGTCAGCCTGTGCCAGAAGTCCGGATCATAAAAGAACCCTTATGTGAAATAGTTACAAGAACAACTAAATGTGTGGATTTAAATGTCTCTATAAGAAAGCATAATATGGAGAAGTTGAAGGGAGATTTATTTTAAGTAGCTCATTAACAATGATTTTTTTTCAAAAGGGACTGTTATTGTAGGAAAAAAAGCATTTTTATTGACATATCACATTGTTGGATATCTCTGAATCTGGCGATTTCTTAATGCAATGAAAGGTGAAGAAACAAGCTCAAGGTTTACATATATATTTTAAAAACTAATTAAAATATATTCATAAAACTTGGGGATTTACATAACTAAAATCTCAGCCCTATAGCACTCATATACATATAATGCTTTATATACACTACCACATCCTGAATTGTGTGCTTGAACATGTTCCTAACACAAGCAACACTTTTATTCACACTGGAATATTTTTTATTTGGGGATGAGTAGTTTCTTAAACTCATCAGAGTTTAGATTGTGATTAAATTTACTGACATTTTTATTAAATAGCCTTAAGGAAAGATGTAATCATCAAGCTATTTTTCTGTTATTATTACACTGATACATTCTATTTTTGAAAAATTATGAGAGATATACAAAATATGGGCACTGAGAATTGATTGTATAGCTCATCACCTTATACTATATATTAATCTAAGCTTTTTCTAGAGTATGTCCTCAGTAGGCAGTTTATACTTAAATAATATTGATCATCTCTATAAATTACACTGAATTTAAAGAATTTTATACCTCATTTGTTGCAGGGCTATGCTCAAATAATCTGATTTCAAATTAAAATCACTTAGCCTCATCAATTAATACCCATTAAGGAGATCTATGGATCTGCGTCTATAAGGGTTGTTGCCAAGACAACCATTGAACCAGTCAGACCATGTCTCATGGGGTTGCTGAGCATCAGAATAGACGTGATGGCATCTAATAACAACAAACATTTGTAATCAACTAAAATATCTGAAAACCTTCCATCTCATTTTTTTAATCAATTTATTATTGAAATTTGTCAGTAAATTTAATCACAATCTAAATGATTTTTTGCTTATTTTTAACAACTGAATGTTAAGTATATTAAAATAGATGGTGAAATATTTCACAAACATTTACAGGGTCTGATTTTACAGTGGCTAGAAGTAAAAGAAAAACATGATGAGAAAAAATGAAGGTAGAAAATTAATATGCATTAAAAAAAGTTTCATTTGCCATGTTGTAGGAACATGGAAATTGAGTGAAATGGAGTCCTCCTACCTTGGAAATCTGAACTTAACAGTAGGTAGACACTGTGCTTTAGCCAAATTCTTTAGAAAACCAAACATTAACATTGGAACCTACCAGGGCTCTACATGGCAAAGGATCTTGTGATTTGCTTCTAATATTAAAATTGTTGAAAACATGGCTTAGAATATCTTAGGGAAGAATTGCAGAATCTGTATTTTCCCAAGACTTATAAAATTTTACTTAATGACCCTAGATTTTGAAAGGCGCTGCATCAGAAGCTGGTGTGGAAAGTCACATAGAGAAATTCATCTGCATTTGAAATGGACCCAGGGGATTCCTCTACACGCTGCCCGAAAGCTCTTTTCAATAACCCTGGAGGCACAAGTTCCACTGCTGCTTAATGGTTCTTGACCCCAATCACATCTTTACTCCAAGTTCAAAGCTGCCTTTGAATCAGTTAGGCCCTTTCGGCTTTTGAGAATCTTTAGTGTCTTGGTTCTGGAATACTTGGTGATGTCTTTACATCTTTTGTGGGTCATTAAATTCTAGCATATATTAAAGCAATTACACTTTGTGTATTTCAGTATCCTTCCCCTTTGACTACGTTTCCATGTTAAAGAACCAAAATAAAAACGATTTCAACCTGCAACCCTACAACTAGGACCTCTAACTTCCATGAGATATTTTAATATTTGCTACAGATAATAAACATTAAAATACTATCCCCAAGTGATCTACACACAAGGGAGAGACAGAGAACAATTGTGTCCCAACATGGCTGTCTCCTTCATCTGCCCTTTCCCGTTTCTACCTCTGCCTTTTGCCTCCAAAATTCAGATGCCAAGGCTACTAATTAATTTCTTTTTTGAGGATCTGGATACTAGGGTAATTTGGGGGAGGTAATTTTTCAAAGTGTTGCATTTTCCATTCTTAGCATCCTAGCACTTGCCTACAATGTGTTTAAATAAGTACCAACCTCCTTGAAGGTTACTACCCTTTTGAAATGTTATCTTCATTTTATCCCTGATATCAGCACTATGTCAGAGTTAGCTTTGCTAACATTGAATACCGATAGCATTAACAACAAAATGATAGCGTTCGTGCAGTAATAAATAGTAGTGATTCAACAGCATCAATCAGTTAAGCACATAATAAACCAGAGAAGTCATTAGATAAATAATAACTTTTTATGTGAGCATTTTGTATTTATATTTTATAGCTAGTTCTTAATGCATAAAACTGAGCATCTGTATAATATAATTTTTACTTTTCTAATTTAGCCAGCTTGTGGCAAATAAATCTCCAATTCTAAAAATAAAATCATAAAGCTTTTCTCAAATAATCTTTGAGTTTAAAGAACACTGGACAGCCTCATCCACACATATTCCTGGGAAGAGAGAGAATTCTTCTACTTGAGCAAACGCAAGAGAAGGCTTCAAAATGTTCATGGAATTTTTTTCAGTATCCTTTAATGTTATTTTCCATGATAATTTGCAGCCTCCTCATATTTATCTACTACTGCATGCCTAGGCTGACCCCAAACTCCATATGAGAAAAAAGATCCTGTAGTTTTACTGCTAAGAGATTTAGATTTGTGGGAGTTCAGTACACTTTGGTTATATTAATAAAAGATTAGCACCCCATCACTTCTTAATGAATGTTAGATATTTTATGTAATTTTCCTTTTGGGGGGTAATTTTCTTTAAATGCTATATTTAATAAATTGAAAAACATGCTGCTGGTTCCAGTTCATACATCATGGATGTATGACAAGCAAAATGAGTTTAAATATGTCTGCAATTAGTGAGTGGCAGCAGACAAGCTCTGTCACTAAAATGCTTCTCAAAATCCTATTAGGGATACTTGGTGGTGGCATTAGATGAGGATTAGACTGTTGCCCAAATGTGGCGGTTTACACCCACCAGCTCCTCCAAGACCGAAGATGAAACTGTCTACTTTCATCAAGATTTGTAGCCTCGGAAGGGAGTCCACTTAATGGTAGCTTGTTTTTGTTTTTGTTTTTTTTCAGAGGAGAGGAATGTTGGGCGGTCCAGGGTGAGTTTGGTAAATCTTATGGAAAACAAATTAATTTGAGGTTAGCTTAATATCAGTTTTTAAATAAAGCTCAAGCAACCCTCTTTCCAAATCATTGAAGCTTCGCAACAAGTTCACAGAAATACTGCCCCCCCCACCCCCCAAAAGAAAGAAAACCAGTCTTTAGTTAGAGCACACATTTTAAGGAGCTCAGGAGCACCTCAAAGATGAATTCAAAGCAGAGATGTCAGTTCAGACAGGCATTTGAGAATTATTTCTTGAATCCCAAAAAGGGTAATCAGATAGTTTGGTTTATTTTAAGGAAAAAAAGGTGATCATAAAGGCTTATTAATTAAGAAGCGTTGAGGACATTGCAAACCCCAACAATGAGAAAAAGTCCTGAAAAGTTGCGATGAGGACATTTTCCCCATTCTTTCAGGGGCTGTGATCCAAGAATTTCACAGGGACTTTACCTTCCCCCCTGCGCCACCCGCCCCCTGGCCCCAAGATCAAAGAACATTGCAAAGCAATACAGTTTGCTTCTTTGAGGATACCAAAACGGCCATTTTGACCTGCCATGAAAGAAGGGCACAGAATCTTTCAGAGAAGATTTATTAAAAGACACTTTCAGAAAGGTGTAGACTGAGGTGAACTAAAATTACCTTCACATTTGGATATCTTTATTTAATTAAGGTTGTTATAATTTTATAGCAATATTGTTGACATACCTTTGTATGTTCATATCCATATATTTAGATACTACAGGACTTTATAAAGTTCTTGGCAAATTCCATTAGCTTTTAATTCCTTTTCCCACAGTCTTTGAAATACACACACAGGATTTCAAAGTTTATAAGTCTGTGGAAATATGGAATTAAAAATTAATGGATATTCGCAAGAACATATATATATATAATTCTCGATATGATATATATACTTCATCTATAGTATATATGCTTCTAAATCTATAGTAGATTTATAGTATATACATATGTTTACCAAGGTTTGTGGAAAACAAAATGAAAATATAATACATCTTTCTCCAATAACTTGGAAGACCTGTAGTGTGTATCCATATTATATACACATGCATGTGTATTACTAGAGAGAGAGAGGGTGCACTAGGTTGGTGCGACTGCGAACCTCAAGGTAGGGGTTGATCCTGTAATTTTTGTTGTTATTTACTTAGGTTTACCTGGCACTGTTACAAGCCAGGCCAATGCATAAAATGCATAGCCATCAGAATCTACACTGTCATATTGATAATGCTCAAAAACTGTTTTCCTCCCAAAGAAATACTGCAAGCAAAGTATCACTACTTTCAGCTCATTCATCAACTATATTTGAAGGTTTAATTTCCCACTGGAAAATGTCAAATGGCATTATCCTACAGAAACCATGCCATTATCTCAGCAGGTAGAATGAAGATATTTTATTCTCTCAGGTTCCACTTGATGTTTGTCCAAACATTGTAAAGGGATCTTTTAGAACCCAAGCCACTCCCTAGGAGTACCATAAATTTAGGTCAATTAAGCTCATAACACTTAGACTTTTAAACTCAGATGCTTTGCTTCCTACAGTTGAATGAACTTTTATGTGAGTAAAGAACCTATTATTATAAAGATAATCATGGGCATCTGTCTATCAAGGAAAATTCTTTTTTTTTTTTAATTAAAAATTACTTATTTATTTTCATGTCTTATACTGACTGCTGTCTCCCTTCACCCATTTTTCTGTTGTCCATCCCCATGGACACGGAGTTATAGATGAATTATTGTGATTTTTTTCCCCCTTCCTTCCTCCACCTTCCCCTTTCCCTCCTAGTATCACTACTCTCATTATTGGTTGTGAGGGGTTATCTGCCCAGAATTCCCTATGTTGTGAGTTCCTATTTGTACCACTGTACATGCTCTGGTCTAGCTGGATTTGTAAGGTAGAATTGGGATCATATAGTTTTGGGGGAGGAAGCGTTAAAGAACCAGAGAAAAGTTGTATGTTTTGTTAGTGCTATACTGCATCCTGACTTGCTCGTCTCCTCCTTGTGACCCTTCTGTAAGAGGATGTCCACTTGTCTACAGTTGGGCTTTGGATCTCCACACCACACTCCCCCTCATTCATATTTATATGATTTTTTTTGTTCTGGGTCTTTCATGACCCTCAATACCTCATGATCACAGAGGTTGGAGTGCTTCTTTCATGTGGTCTTTGTTGCTTCTCAGCTAGATGGCCGCTTGTTTATCTTCAAGCCTGTAAGATCCCAGATGATCTATCTTTTGATAGCCGGGCACCAGCAGCTTTCTTCACCACATTTGTTTATGCTCCCATTTTGTCTTCAGTGATTGTGTCGGGAAGGTGAGCATTACAGCATGCTGAGTTATTAGAACAAAGTGTTCTTGCATTGAGGGAGTACTTGAGTAGAGGCCCAATGTCCATCTGTTACCTTAATATTAACATATAAATATATGTACATAGATCTGTTTCCCTATCACTATATACAAATATATTTACAAATGTACATGCCTGTATTTAGACCTCTATAAATGTCTTTTGCCTCCTAGTTTTTTTCATCTATTAAGGAAAATTTTTGATATGACTTACCAACTAAAATTGAGCAAGGAGCGTGCAATAACATTTCATTCATTAAATAATCAATAACCTAATAAAACATGTAAATCATAATATATATGCATTTGCAATTCAGACCTATATAAAAACAAACAATCTTTGATTTAAAAAATGTATAGTAAAAACAAATTGATTAATATTAAGGCATTTTACAGAAAGTTCAAATGTTTAAAAGAATACCTTTATCCATATCATTACAATTATTAGTATTGATTTAAGCAAATGCAAGGAATTCTGGTGGAAATTTAAAATCCTTTTTCAAATAGTTATTTTCATTGACTGGACAAAGTTCAAATATCTTCCTAGACTCTGCTAAAATCCCCCTAATATGGCCCTTGAGTTTCTTGCCTGCTTTGGATGACGGTTTATCTACCGTATGGCATGTGATCACGGATCACTCAGAAACACAGGATTATCTCCAATACCCTGGGCAGTGTAAATAGTGTCACGGACTTGTTTCCCCTGCAAAAGTCCCACATGTTCTGCTAAAATCACTATGTTAACTGAGTTCATAAATATCCCAGAGAACCTAGGCTTTACCTTTGAAATTATAAATTGTTAGAAGGTCCAAAGAATAAAATTTGATAGGGCACTGTAAAATATGTAAGTGCCTATACCTTTCATCTCAGTTCTGGCAATTATCCATGTCATTATACTTGCACAGATTCTAAATTATGCATGTGGCCATCTTGTTTGTTTTCCCATTGTTTGTAGAAGCAGTGGTTGGAATGAAAATGTCTATCAAAAATGGATTTCTTAAATAAACAGTAGTACATGTAGACAAACCAGCATTGGGTGGCTTTGAAAAACAATTGAAGGAGTGGCTGAGTGGTGACAGGCAAAGAGCCCCACAATACATGGTGGACACAAACTTTTAAAGGCAAAGTGCTGGAGGATGTTTACATTCATTTGATTTTCTTAAAATTCATTCTGAAATTAAGGAAATAAAGAAGAGATTAATTCAAGGACTATCTCAGGTAAAGGACTAGATTGATCTGGTCTGAGAAGGGGAGAACTTTTACAGGTTTGCTATGAATCAGTCTCCAGCCACAAAGGGTGACTTCCAACCAAAGAGAGTACTTGTCACAGGCACACGGAGGAGTTCTTTGCAGCAAAGGCTCCTCTTATTGACGGCAATCTTGCTTTGCACTCATACATTGGAAACATGCCTCTCATATTTCCCAGTTCCAACCCAGCACAGAGACCTATATCCTTCTGCCACTGTGAAATCATAGTTGAATTTTTATGTGTGTGGATTAATCTTGTCTTTCTTTCCTTCCCCCTCAATGTAACCAAATAAGAATATACAGTTCCTGAGAATCTGGTCCTGCCGATTTTCTGATCTAATTTAGATGTTTAGAGGATAAAAGAATGCTTGCTGTGTTTTCTTAAATCTAATTATGGGGTTAAATGGGAGTGATGAGAAGACAGGGTTGGTTCTAATATAAATTACCTTCTCTCTACAGGAGGAGCATTATCAGCTGCTTGGACAGTGAGCGCATAGGTCCGTCCAACTATCAATTCCACCTCGGGAGCGATGGCGATAAGCCCTGTTGTTTTATTGATGATGAAGTCTCCCTGAGCCCCGACCAGGATTTCATACGTGATCTCCCCATTGGACCCTTCATCGGCGTCGACTGCAGTGAGCTGGAATTGAAAATCACATCATAAATCCTCTTGGGACACAACCTTTCGCTATCGTGTCATTTTTATCCCAACAAAAGAAACTTGCTCTCCGAGATAATACATAAATATGTAAGAAGAAATGTTTTTGATCTTTTTGCATGTACGTACACTTTTGGTGTACTTATTGAACTGAGGCTACTGTGCCCTGTTATGATCCTGAAACAATCACAAGTGACTTTTTTGTTTTAGTTTCTTTTCCTTTTCTTATGAGGGTGATAAGAAAACGTTTTTGGTTTTTTTGAAAATGACTTTATTTTAATATAACAAAGGAGGAAAGAAGAAGGCACTAGCAGACAAATTAGTAACCCTACAGGGAATTTAAGGCACGCTGGTGGCGTAAAGCGTTGGACTGCTGACAGAAGGGGGGTAAAGAAGAGGTTTTCTCATTTAGTAAAGTGACAGTCTCAGAGACTCACAGGAACAGTTCTACCCTATAAGGTCCTATAAGGTCATATAAGGTCACTATGAGTCAGCATTGACTAGATGGCAGTAAGTATAGGATTCTAATTTATTCTCTCTAACCTCTGGTTCTTGGCACATAACCCCTTATTGCTACAGACTAAGACCTGAAAAAGAATAAAACAAGCAATGTTTACGCTTGCTACTTTTTTTTTTAATCCATAGTCTTCTCTGCCCAGTCTCCTCGAGACTCTCTTGTCCCATCCTTCTTAATTATAATTGGCTGTAGGAAAGACTCATAATCTTGCTCACACTGACCTATAAGGGATGAAAAAGTACACTCAAAATCAGACAGAGGCAACACCAATTGGAGCATACCAAGGCTAATGTAGCACATGGACTCATTTTGGGGGATGGAGCATCTACTTGGAGCCTGTGAAATTATATCACACAAACAGCTGTAAGGCTCATGCTGAGTATGTTTCTAAGTGTTTGGGGCAAACCTGTGTCTGATGTTTTTCGATGCCCTCCAGTCAGTTCTGACTCAGCGACCCTGTGTGCCACAGAAAGAACACTGCCATTCTCACAGCTGTTCTTATGCTTGCAACCATTGTCCCAGCTGCTGTGTCAATCCATCTCGCTGAGGACCCTCCTCTTTTGTTGCTGCCCTTCTATTTGACCAAGAATGATGTCTTTTTTCCAGGGATTGGCCTCTCCTGACATGTCTGAAGCATGTGTGTGAAACACAGTAGACCATTGTGTATAGAAAAATATCCAAACGAAACGTAGTCATCACGTGGATTCTCGCCTATGGTGACCACATAGGACAGGGTGGAACTGCCTCGGTTAGATGTCATAGGCTGCAAAGCTTTACCAGAGCAGAGAACTTCTTTTTCTCTTCCAGAACACTTAGAACTGCTAACCTTGAGGTCAGCAGCCCAACTCTTAATGCACCTTACCACCTGGTCTCCTAAACGTAGTCCCATAAAACAGATATAAATGAAAAATTACTCAATTCATTTAAGAAGGGTCAGTGATTTTCTGATACACATGTATTTAATTAAGATAAAAGAAAGAAAACTGGAGCTTAGGAGGAAACATAACAGGTATTTTACACACAGGCATGGCTCACTGAATGTCCGCAGTTCATTCTGTAAGATAGGATATCATGTGAGGTGGATGCTGTGTGGACACCAGACTAGACAAAACAGGGGCGAGACTGATAGGATCCAGTTGGGTAGGCATTGTGCCTCTGCTCCTGTGCCAAAGGATTATAAGGAAACTTTGCCTACAGTGCTGGATGTGTCCAACTCTGCCAGCCATAAAGTTGGTGAGTGCGTCCACGTCACTGTTGGCTCCGCTTCCCTTTCTTCCTCTATGTCTGCTTCCTAGAAATCCACAAAGCTCAATTACAGGGTCTCTGAGGCAGAATCAACTTGATGGCACCAAGGTTTGTTGTTGTTTTATTCTGTTGTATATATATATGTCTGCCCTTCTCTCCCTTCAAATGGGCTTTAAACTCTTCAAGTCCCACTCACCCCTCCTCTGCTTCTTCTCCCATCTCTGCCTTCTCCCCAGGCTACTTTTCTTGTTCTTCCTCCTGTAACCTCCACAGTTAGATCTTGACACCATTGAAGGAAGTATGTCTTCAGACCTGGGCATTCAGTGCTGAGCACCTGGGCCCAGTGGAACAGTGACCTTGGCAGTAGGTCCCATTTGGGGCTTCGGTGGTGTTGGGGTGGTCTCTGCCAGAGATGAGCACTGTGGAGCAGGCAGTTGCTAACAGGCAGTGGTAACCCTTCTATCAACTGTTGCAGGGGCAAGGGACCCAGGGGACCTGGTAAAATCCACATATAGCAAAGTGCATCCCCTGTGTTCTGTTTTCCAGGTGACAGTGCTGAACTCTGCTATAACCTTTTGGAATCGAGAGGGAGAGGAACCTGGTCAGAATGGATGCAGACCCACACATTCAAATAATTCTCAAATTTCCCATATTATTTGATTCTAAAACTAATGGACAAAGGAAAATAAAAATAGTCTTCAATTACCCCAAAAATAATAATTTTGCTAACTCAATGAAATAAGCATTAATTGTTAACAAATCAGCCTATGAAAATGTTCTTACTAACACTTCCTATTATTTTTTTAATTTAGCTTCACTATTTTAATGACTATTTTAAAATAATATTTTTTTAAACCACTGTTGGGATGTGGGAGAGACGATGATGTACTTCCTAGAAGAAGCGCGCAGGTTTCCTTTGAAACTTGAGTTCAGTTCCATGGACCCTAGGTTAGTCAATGGTCCCTTTGAAGGTCCATGTCTACTATCCTGAGGAAATCTAAACCAGGAACCTTAAGCATGTCAAAATGCTTAGCTATGATGGTGCGTAATATATTTCTATTTTTATTATGCTATATATTTTTTAAAAAAATGTACAGAAGCAATCACAGCAAAAATAGCTCAGAAGAAAATAAAATGGAATTTGAGAGACAGGCAGTAAAGCAGTACATTCTGTGATTGGGTATTTGGAGATAGACAGATGTGCTAGACGGAAGGAAAGACCTTTTGTAAAATGATTCAGGGAGTTGTGTTCAAATGACAGGCCGAGACCGGAAGGCAAAAGAGAAGGAAATTATTTGCAACAACAGTCAAAATGAGTGACACATATTTATGGAGAACTATTTAAGCCAGACAAACTCATTCTCCTTTGTGTGTAGATTAAATTAAAGAATTAAAGGTTGGTGGCAACACAGAAGATATCAATTTTGATGATAGTAAATCACTTAACACAATGTCACAGGAAATCTTAATTAAAATTTAGCTCAGATTGACTTCAACATTAACATTCTTCCTGGGATTTAAATTGGCTAAAGGAATTTACAGATAAATGGCAAGGCAACAGAAAGACATCCTATGCAGCATGCTTCAGGGGTATAGGCATTGTGACCAGTCTCATTTACCATTTTCATAGTTGGAAGGGAGGATCAACTGAATGACATTAAACCGAAGAAGGTATCTATCTGGGAAGTGCATAAATACCAAGCGGTACTACAAAACAAAACTGATATAAAGACCCCCGAAATTGCTGAGCGAGTCAACTACCAATAAGCGAGCATATTTATGCAAATTTCCTAGCTGAAAAAAAAATTTTTTAAGTAGGACATTTAAATAAACAGGCCAAAAATAAAATCTGTGCTTAGGTGAGTTAAGTAGAGGGTTTTTTAGGCTTGTTTGTTGTTGTTGTTTTTAGACCCAAGGAAATGATACTGTAGGGTCAAAGAATGAAATTGTGAGGTAGAAAATAAACATAATTGAACATGCACAGATGGCAACCAAATTACTGAGAAGAAACTTTTGGTGATTCAATAACAGGAAAGATAGCTGAGCCTTCAACTCTGAAATGCGAATGTAACATCCTGAAAACTCAAGGCGTTTTTTAAACCTCGCTTTATAATTGAGTAGAATTGCAGATATTAATTTTACAGTATGTGGTGCAGATTTAATTCAATTACACTGTAGTGACTCTGTGACCAGCGAGTGGTCTATGAGATGGGGGTTTGTGAAGTCTCCTAATTTAGGGGGGAAATTGGCCTCCTAAGCAATATCAAGAGGACGAGGCCTTGATTCACGTGGAGAAGCCAAGTGTTTCTGACATTTTAGACCATGGAAGCAAAATACAATGTATGGTTTTTAATTGCTTTACTTAAATATTCATGATCTCTAAAGGGTAAGGGACTCTGGGAGCAATTTGCTTGTACAGTCCTTTGCCAGAATGTATTACAGTCCTTTGCAGGAAGTTAATCTCACTCTCCCACAACCGTTTCCTCTCAGCATTCCAAAATGTGCAGATTCTAGCCATTTTCCCAAATTCCACTCAAAATAATACAAAATAAAACCAAACAAAATTCTGATTTTCTTTGCCATTGCTGTCTCATGTTGTTCCCTTCCTGTATCAGTCAAATTGAGGAATACGGCTTCATGTAAAAGGACAAATACAAAGATTTGGATCATAAACTCAACAAAAAATTCAAAATGAAACTTCAGTAGAAAAACAAGTGCAAGAATAAAATAAAAACCACACCCACAGTCAATATAAAAATAATCAGAAACCCTAAACTACATAATATGAACACAGTATTTATTTCTGCATAAATACATTTTCACTAGAAATGAAGTATGATTTTAGATTTCATGAATAAGAGTGTTTTGCATTTTCTACCTTCCCATTCCTAGGTGCTTTAGGCCCTTACTTCCTGTAAGAGCACCTCATTTTCTTTTAGGGGCTTCCTTCGACAGCTCATGTTTGGGTAAGACTGACAAAGCTCCAGAGAGGAGACAGAGACTCAGAGGCTGGTACTGTTTGGTTAAATATGATTAATTATCTAAGTTGATGGAATCAGAATAATTCCTGAGACCTTTGAGAAAAAATAGCCCTTTCTTTCCATGGGGTCAATCTTATCAATTTACACCCGCCATTGCAGCTGCTCTTCTAGATTCTACTCGAAGTGGGTCTGAGCCAGCACAGAAGTTGGCACGAGGAAGCATGGAGAGAATTTTACCA